TCTCCAGAGTCGTAGTCCGCTCTGGCTCTCTAAGGGTAACTGACACAGGTGTTAAAAGTCCACCGGATTCCAGCATGAGACCCCACTCCCTTTTCCCTCACCCTCTTTGTGTTCATCGGAAGCCATCGCTTACTTTCTCTCTCCTTCTTGCAGGGGGTAAAGAAGCCCTTCTCAGAGGTCATCCGAGCCAACATCGGGGACGCCCAAGCCATGGGGCAAAAGCCTATTACCTTCTTCCGCCAGGTAAGATCTGGGCTAAGATCAGAAGGGGCAGCCACCGATCTTGTGCAGCAAGGTGTAGGATGCCAGGTATAGGATGACACATAATTCCCTGTTTGACCCCAGAAGTGGTAAAGCTCAGAGAAGATGCTCCAGTGGAAGGGGCCGGAGAAGGGGAATTGCCTACCCTCCAATGGAGAATCCCAATTAATCCTCTGCCATCCCACTTCTCCAGCTACTTTTCAAATGTCCCGGTTTCCTTCTTCTCCTCCCACTTTCCCCCCTTAGTCCTGAGTTTACTTTAATTGCTGCAAAGTGAATTCAGAGTGCAAAAAATCCTGCCTACTTTCGAACTCTCCGATTTAGCATGGAGTATCCCAATTAATCCTCTGCCATCCCACTTCTCCAGCTACATTTCAAATGTCCCATTTTTCTTTCCCTTTCCTCCTTAGTCCTGAGTTTACTTTAATTGCTGCAAACTGAGTTCAAAATGCAAAAATAACTGCCTATTCTCCTGATTTGGCACAGAGAATCCCAATTAATCCTCTCCCATCCCACTTCTCCAGCTACTTTTCAAATGTACTGGTTTTCTCCTCCTCCTCCTCCCACTTTCCCCCTTAGTCCTGATCTTCCTTCAATTGCTGCAAACTGAATTCAAAGTACAAAAGGAGTTTGCACTCAGTTAACCTGGCAGTGGGACAGGAGAAGAAGGGGAAGAATCTTGTCCTTTGGAGAAAGTTCAGGTAAAAGCAAAGTCCTGCAGCCTCTCCTGTCTTTTCTTTCCCCCTTTGTCCACAGTCTACTACATCAATTGTTGCAAAGTGCAAAATCAGTTTGCACTCATGAACTCATGAGGAAGAAAGGAAAGGAGAGGAGAGGAGAGGAGAGAAGGCAAAAGTATTTGCCCAGATGATTTAGGCAAAAGCAAACCACTGCAGCTTCTCCTAACTTATCTGTTTTTCCTTGTGAATAACTTTTGCCATCTTGACCAGACTCTGATGCTGCTTGGCCACATATATCCTGGGTTTCATCTCTGAAATGTTGGAGGGTATGGACTTGGGGAGGGGTCTTCCTGGCTACGGAAGACCCTCTCTTTCTTCTTGACCATGCTTTCTTGAAAAGAACAGGAGGTCAAGATATTTCTGTTTCCCCCCCCCCATGGGGTAGGTTTTCTGCACCCACCCAAACCACTTCTGTACCTTCCAAAATAAAATCATCCTTATTCATGAGCTAGGCTGCACAGTGGGGGGGAAGCCACTCTGCCCATCTGCAGAGTGCATTTGCCTCACTTGGATCAGAATGCACCCATTTTAGGGATGAGGGGGAAACCCACCGAGGCAAACAGGGATGAGAAAGGGCTGGGTGGGATAGAGCTGAGATTTCCAAAGCAGGAGCTTCACCTGAGCTCTCCCTTGGCAGGTCAGTGCTCTCTGCATGCACCCCGATCTTTTAAAGGACCCCAACTTCCCAGAGGATGCCAAAGAAAAAGCGCGGAGGCTGCTGGCTGCCTGCGGGGGACATAGCATCGGTGAGTGCCCCCCATCTTTCCTTCCTTTGGCATCCCTTTTGGAGAGTGTGTGTGTGGGTGGGGGGTCTTTCTAATAAAACGGGCCAGGGGCTCTGAGATTGGGGCAAAATGGGTATCCGTGCCCCATAGTGGATGCTGTGGAAATAAAAATGCTGTTTGGTACCACTTTAACTGCCCTGGCTCCATCCTACGGAATCCTGGGATTTGTAGTTTGTGAGGCACCCACACTCTGGCAGAGAAGGCTAACGACCTTGTAGAACTGCAAATCCCAGATTTCCATAGGATGGCACTTCAGCACTTAAAGTGGTGTCAGACTGCATTGTTTCTACGTGTAGATGCACCCTACAATTGGCCATTGTTTCTAATAAAACAGGCCAAGGCCTCTGAAATTGGGGCGAAACCATGAACCGTGCCCCATAGAGGCTGCTGTGGGTGCATTTACACTGTAGAAATAATGCAGTTTGGCACTCTGATCTGCAATGCACTGGAAACCCATTATTCTGGGTGCTGCCAGGCTGCAAAGGTGGGTGAACTTTGCTTGTTCGTGACTGTAAATATGAGTCCTCACCAGCTGTGAGATTGTACGTCCAAAACCCAAAACTGCAAAAACCAGTTATCTACCACCAAGCCTAACAAGCTAGAAGAATCTGGCAATAATCTTGCTTCCCAAATGCAGGCTTGTGGCTAACATCGTCATAATTTCCCCCCCTCCTGTGTGATTTTATGACTGATGAAGAAGCCAGTGGGGCTTCAAAAGCTTGCAACATGTATTTTGTGCATTTTGGCTGTTCCAATAATGGTATCCC